ACGGTGCCGTGTCCATGTGGCGGTCAGCCTTCGTGAAATCCGACGGCCTTGAACAAGCCAAGCTGAGTTTTCACCTAGCTTCGTTCAGTACCCACGTTTCTACGTGTGTATGCACTTACTGAGTGTAGCTAAGGGTCGCAGGGTACCTTGGTGGGATTCATCATCATCGTACTGAACTGTCCCATAACAGGAACGAACCCTGACATCCACCCCTCCTCTGTACAGATACTTCCTGATGACAGATGACTACGTTACATGTCTACGTCTGGAGTCAAGTATCTCTGCCTGGGTATGGGATGTCCACAGAATTGTGTCTACATTCAGTTCAGTGCATCTCAAGATATCTTTTTTCCTTAACCTAATTATTGTCAATATACAGTTATGAAAACTCCTATCGTCAACATCTACTAACATAGATCTGAGATGTTTTCTAATGAGAGTCAATCACCTGCGAACAACGTATCTTTATATCCCATTTGGAACATGTACATTTACAAGGACAACACTAACCCATGAAGCTACCAATGGTATCACAACATGACACAAGTCCGTCACTACCACCTGACACTTTCTAATCATAGAGGTAGAGACTAATAATATAATATTGTGGGTGGACCCACTGAACCCAACCCCACTTCCGTGTGAGTTGTACGAAGTTGAGAAAATAACAATGGACCATGAGACATGACCATTCTATGGTTCTAACTAAGTCATCCTGACTCTTTGATACCCCGTCGTATAATATGTCTTTAAAAAAAAAACTGCAATCCCTTCTGTTGAAACATGTCATACCTTCTGACAAATAGCGGGAAAAAAATAGAAACACAAGTGTGGCCTGCACGACACATTTCCAACAATCATGGACAGTGCCACCTGTTACATGAAACTGTCTTTAATGTACCAGGTTTCTATCACCTATATATATATAAATACTCAGTGACCACTCCTCTTGAATAACAGTCTCTTATAACTGTGTTTAAATATCAAATATGATTTATTAGTTTACAAACAAAACAAAACAAAAAAAAATTAAAATAAATAGCCTTATTTTTTTTGACTAAAATCTACTACAAAATTACGGAATTAACGAAGCGAAACATAAAAATAGTTACAAGTAATATTTTACCACTTCGTCTCCTAGTGTCAACACTTACTATTTACCTACCTAGTCTCAATCTTATATTTTTTCTTATTATATAAAATATACATGCAACTAGTTGACTATTGCGGTGCCATCCACAGAAACTAAACGTGTGGTTGAACTCTCAACAACCAACATGTCACATTACTAAATTACAATTACTCACGGAGAAAAATGTTAGAAATGCAAACCTGCAAAATTGTATAAGTTATAATTTAACTTTAACAATTAAGAGATAATGAAACATTAACGTATTGAAACAAACAAACAAAAACGGTTTCTTCCTTCCAGCTTTCTCAGTTTGGCTCGGATTGACTGATTTGATGGAGGAAGGCTGCTGGCGTGAGACCAAGACAAATTTACCGGCAACCTTCCTAAAATGGTCCCCTAACATGCCTGTCAACTACAAGAGGAGTAAGAACTCAATTATAGTTATAAATTATGAGATTAATAACGATATAATGTAATACATCGAGGTATGAACACACCAATTTCAGAAGGTAATAATTATGGTGAGGTGATTTTAGTCACAGGCAAGACTGAAAGTCACGGCCGTGGTGGTGTCTATAAGGGGTTGCAACCTACTTCGCTTGGCACGGAATCTCAATGCTAGTGACCTTCCTTAGATGTAGGCGAGTAAACAATAAACTGTATTATAAAAAGCTAGATCTGTAAAAGAGATGATCACGAATGCTTGTGGAAAAAGGTTCTACCCAAAAAATTCACCCCTAAACACGGGAGATCTACAGTCTAATATTTCAGGGACTGGTAGATGAAGCGTATAGTTAGTAATTTGGCATTTACTTTGCCGTGCAGTTTTGTGCTGTAAAGTTTCCAGTGTTGTGTCCTTCTTGTGCTGTTTCTTGGTGTGCATTTTTATGTGTGTTGGTGCGGAAGGATGCAGTTTCTGTTTTATTTGTGTGTGTGTGTGTGTGTGCTGAGGAGGACCTAGGCTGCATACAATCTTGGGACCTAGGCTTCATACAATTGTGGAGCCTAGGCTACATGCAATCGTGAGGCTTAGGCTGCACTCTCTCGTGGGACGTAGGTGGTTGGGGTAGGGGCCCTTTGTGGACGTGTTTATGGTGGTTACATTAAAAGCGCTCACAACGTGGGATATAGAACACTTTTCTTTTTGAAACTCTATGTTCAATCGGGGATAAATTGCCAGTTGGGGTACTGTAGGGGTAGCCCTAAAAAGGGCTAATAATTCAAGATGTATACTGTTGGGTCACGCACGTATAAACAATCATAACAATTGTACACGTTAGTAGAACTGGAGAGAGGTCGGAATGGGCCATACAGGTCGACCTTCGACAATGCCATCGGTCATGCCTTTTCGTCAGTGATAGATAAAACCATCGCATGATTATTGCTACAACGTCTGGTGGGGTGTTATGCAGAATGTCATGATGTTACAAGAAAGTCAGTCCGCTCTCCTTGTCAGGCACTGCTGCTGCTAATTCCAGGAAATTTATGGCGATGAAGACTGAACACAAGCCGCTGGAGAGACGCCGCCGAAAGAAGTGCGCGCCAACAGAAGAAAACGCGCAAAAACCTTGGCAACGCCTTGAAAGACACACAGAAAGAAACCGACTCTTACCACCCTCTAAAATATTGGACTGTCCAGTGACGTCATTATGGGGAATTATTGGGACAGATCGAAAACGAAAAACAGAAAAAAAAAAGAGGCGAATGCTCAAAGAGAACTTATCACAAACATAAGCAAGAGACAGTCATAATTGTATGGTCATGTTAGGAGAAGAGGGAAAATGGAACATGTTGTGACCATAGGACAGATCTGTGGAAAGACAGAGGAAGACAGCGTGAGAAGATTCTTAACAGTCTTTTGTCATGGCTGTGAGGAGTTTCAGAACACGAACTGATCCACGCAACTGCAACTGAATCAATTTGCTGTCACTAATGCCAACAAAATAGCGCATGGGCGTGTACAGCAGGCTCAGCGTACAGAACAGTCAAAGATGCTTACGCCGACTTCCCTGTGACAACCAGTAGCATACCGATTGAGGGATGGCAGTAACGCAAGCGTTCGCGTGACACGAAACTACACGCATGCACATGTACTCAGTGATTCAGTGAGTATGCCTCGGAGTGTTCAGGGAGGTTCGTTGAGAAGGCAATGGCTTGAATCATTACAGAAGTCCACTGTGCGTAGAGACACCTTTTTTTCGTTTCGGGACACGCAGGCATCGATGGAAATGAAAGAGCTGATAAGTTGGCAGGATCCGCTATCACTACTGAAGTCAACCTATAGATCATGCTGATATTGTTAATGCCCTCCGAGACATAGGGAGGATCGAGGACTTTGGCGTAGTAAATATTCATCACCCGCCAAAATGATAGATAGTCTTGGAAGTTAAAAATTTATCATGTCTGGAGGGAGTGAATTTCATGTTGTGTGGAATTTTTCTTGTGCTAGGCAGTGCTGTACGGTGCTATCCAATAAGGTCTAGCGGTATTGTAACAATACATTTGTTTGCTTTTCCTTTTTTTTTTTTTACATGTGTAGATAAACACTGCGCCTTGATGATAGCAACGCCGTATAGCCGATGGGATCCAAGGAGATGTATGTTGAAAGAGAGATTCGTTTGTGAACAAAAGTAGGTGTCTACAAAAGCAAATAGTTCAAGAGAAAATAAATTGAAAATCCATGTTAATCATGTTCAGTCTTTAAGAAATTAAGGTAGGTAAACTTTAGTATTGTTCCAGAGCTTGAGTTTGCGTACACAGTCGTTTTACAGGTCTAGATTATTTGAATGCAGACTGTTAGTTCATTACCTCTCTGGCAGACTAATTCTAAGGAAACCCATAATTATTCAAACCTTACGACATGCTTGTTATGGCGGCAGTGAGTCTTACCTCCGCCCCGCTCCCCGCCCTCCACAATGGGTGTCAGAAACTTACATAGGGACTCTCCAAAATGATTGGTCCCTGAATCGTATCTCTTACAGTCGTCTCTCGTACTGTTTAAACCTTACCCTGCTTCGCATCTCTTAGAGTCGTCTCTCGTACTGTTTCAACATTTCCCTGCATCTCATCTCTTACAGTCGTCTCTCGTACTGTTTGAACATTTCCCTACATCGCATCTCTTACAGTCGTCTCTCGTACTGTTTAAACCTTTCCCTGCATCGTATCTCTTACAGTCGTCTTTCGTACTGTTCAAATATTTCCCTGTATCGTACCTCTTACAGTCGTTTCACGCACTGTTTGAACATTGTCCTGCATCCTATCTCTTACACACGTCTCCCGTACTGTTAAAACATGTGCCTGCATCGTATCTCTTACAGTCGTCTCTCGTACTGTTTGAACATTTCCCTGTATCGTATCTCTTACAATCGCTTCTCGTACTGTCTAAAAATTGCCCTAAATCACTTCTCTTACAGTCGTCTCTGCTACTGTTTAAACATTTCCCTGCATTCTACTTTTAAAGTCGTCTCTGGTACTGTTTAAACATTTCCCTGCATTCTACTCTTACAGTCGTCTCTCGCACTGTATAAACCTTGCCGTAATGATTGGTCCCTGAATCGTATCTCTTACAGTCGTCTCTCGTACTGTTCAAACATTTCCCTGTATCTAGATCTTACAGTCGTCTTTCGTACTGTTTAAACATTTTCTTGTGTCATACCTCTTACAGTCGTTTCTCGTATTGTTTAAACATTTCTCTATGTCATATCTCTGACAGTCGTCTCTCGTACTTTTGAACATTTCCCTGTATCGTATCTCTTACAGTCGTCTCCTGTACTGTTTAAACATTTGCCTGCATCCTGTTACTTACAGTCGTCTCTCGTACTGTTTAAACATCTTCCTGCATCCTTCCCTCTTACAGTCCTCTCTCGTAATGTTTAAACATTTGCCTGCATCCTGTTACTTACAGTTGTCTCTGGTACTGTTTAAACATTTGCCTGCATCCTGTTACTTACAGTTGTCTCTCGTAATGTTTAAACATTTGCCTGCATCCTGTTACTTACAGTTGTCTCTTGTAATGTTTAAACATTTGCCTGCATCCTGTTACTTACAGTTGTCTCTTGTAATGTTTAAACATTTGCCTGCATCCTGTTACTCACAGTTGTCTCGCGTAATGTTTAAACATTTGCCTGCATCCTGTTACTTACAGTCGTCTCTCTTAATGTTTAAACATTTGCCTGCATTCTGTTACTTACAGTTGTCTCTCGTACTGTTTAAACATATTCCTGCATCATTCCCTCTTAAAGTCGTCTCTCGTGTTGTTTAAATATTTCCTTAGATTGCTGTTCGTCTTTCCTTTGATATTGTTTTTCCACCTATATCACTCTCCACCTCTTTTTCGAGTGCTTTTAACTTACCATTTCAGTAATTTGTTTGTGTCTTTAAATAGTAATGTCTACTAAAAGGACATAAATATGTAACTTATATTTTATTGATTTTCATTGCAACTTCTTTCAATTATCCCTTGTCGCTTCAAAACTTTGTATTTGATTGTTTATATTTCTGTCGAAGATTGTTCTTTTCCATATGTGTCACTAAAAGCTTTTAGGTATACGTGCTTTCTCGTCAACTAATAGAAAAAACGCGAAATTGGATAACTATGCCTTTTTAAATTATTATTATTATTAGAACAAGGAAGTGCCATCGGATAACTACCTTTTTAACATTATTGTTCTGAGCGGCTGGGAATAATAAAAACCTGTATAAGTAAAAGTTAGTTGGAGTAGTGCAATTTCAACGCTGTGGCCTGTTGGGGTAGTGCAATTTCAACGCTGTCGCCCGTCGGTCCGCAGGTCTTGGGTTTCAGTCATTATCGAGGCGGACATTTTGTAATTGACTTTACTGCATATCGGGCATACCTAGACGTGCTCAGTCTTCCGATGCAGCAACCATACCAGGATATCTCTGCTGGTTGTACGAACGACAAGTGGGTTTTAATGTCTTCTATCTTGGCATCTAATCGACGTAAGCTCCCCAGGGTAACCAAACAAGAAATGAGAGTAAAGGCGGGCAGGCGAGATTTTGTAACGTATTATGTGGTGTAGCGGCTGGAAGTTCGCCTACAGATTAAAAAGTTTCGGGTGAGGATTCTGACGAAGCTGGATGTTTTTCCCCTTAAAAATAATGTTGGCTCCCAGCTGCACCCAACCTTATGTAGGTACCAGGAATTGTCCTAGAATGTAAAGGCGGCCGACATGATGCTGATCACATCACCAGTGGAATGCCGATTGGTCTGTAAAAAAAATGGGCCAAGCCCTATATGCTTAATTCACCTGAAGTGATGGTAAAGGGTACATTACTTTTTAATTGTGTGTGTGTCGAGCTCTGTGGGTGCATTATGTATACAAGAAGGATTCTAGAGCTAATTACCAGCCCGCTATTGGCACGAAATTAATCTTTTGCTGTTTTGCTGTTTATTTAAGTCGCTTGTAACACCATGTCACGTGAAACACTACAACAGCTTGTAAACATAAGAGTTTTGGAAAAGAAGTTTGACAAGAGATGGGTGACTGCAGCAACAATTATCGTTGTGTTTTTGTATCATTGATTTATTTCATTTCTAGTCCTATATTAGATTGACGATGCAATCAACCCAAAATACAGACGAATTAAGAGTTGACAGAAGAAAGAAATATAGCCAAGCAAGTTTTACCACACGAGACAACACCACAAGCCAAATGATTAAATGCCAGTAAAACACAAGTTTCAACTTAGTAAAGCAAATGAACTCTATAATAAAACAAATAGCAGACTTAACAGAGTGTTATAATAATTTTTTTGCTGCTTTAGTGAGACAATACAGAAAATAACCACAGTGTGAACAGTTTACAAATCAGTAAATATAGATCGCATGTATTGAAATTTGTCTGTGACGTCATTTTTCAAGCACCTTGTAACCATTAGTTTAGAACATCAGTGCTATATACAGGTGTTTCAGAAATTGATCTTAGCTATAATAAGGTTAACTATTGAAAAAAGAGTATTTTCGATAAGGCATGTATTTCTTAATGGTGGCAGATATTCGAATATAGTGGTTCAACAATTTTTTTCTGTCATTTAGCGATGTCTCATCCGAATACTGTTAGCAATTTAACCAGCAGAATCTACTTTGAGGAGAGCTGTAATGTTAAAAACAGTACCCAAAATAAGATACACTATAGCATTATAGGTTGCACTAACTCCACAGACGGTAATTACAAAAATGGGAACGACAAAATTTTCATTGAAAACCCACCCTATATTCTATCACCTTTGATGTGGGTATAAATAAGATACCACATTTCTCGCCAAGAGGCACATATAGTGTGTGTGTGTGTGTGTGTCTGTGTGTGTGTGTGCACGCGCGCACGTGTGTGGGCGCGTGCATGGTATTATAAAGCAAATAACAAATCACTGCATGAGGTACAATTTTGTGTGTGTGCCAATGTTGATTGTTGAATTAAGAATCGACTACACAGCACTCGGGACACTCCCATAAGCTCTTTGTCCCCATCTTCAACAGCAAGCGAAGAGTTCCATTTGCGATGGTACCAATAAATGTCTGAATATATATCCGTCTCGCCTTATCCCTGACTGTTCAGTGTCGGCCAGATCCCCTGATAACTTTTCTCAGCACCATTATCCTCAGAATGTGATGATCTATTTGTAGCTCTGCATATTTTCTTCACTCCCAAAGGGCCCTAACAAAATCTAGCTTGTCATACATCAGTTCACCGCAGTTTTCTAACGATAATCATATAAATAAACAGACGGCGAGCCCTTGAAGCGGTATACATATTAAATATAAAAGACAGACAATGTATTGATTGACACTCATAGAAATAAGTAGAAAGATAGAAGAACACACTAAAAACATACAAATCTAAAGCCGGGAATCCATCCTGTCACCTCCAAAATGGCGTGTGCGCCTTGCTGTGAAAACAAGTGAACTAAGAACATGGGCAACTAGGCACTCCTAAAAAAAAGATGTCTTTTTTGGCCATGTCTATCGAACAGCTTGAAATCCACAACCATGGAATACGGACAGAATTCATCTCATATCCTTGAAATGGCACCACAGGTTACACAAATTTGTATGAAAGAAGCATAGGTCAAATAACAAACAGCAACGATTTACAAACACAGTAGACATTAATGCTTTGTCTAGAATACACAAACCTTTAAGAAAGGTATTTGATTGATAAGTTCCATTGGGTTATGTTTGTGTATTCTAGACAAAGCATTACGGTCTACTGTGTTTTGTGATAAATGACACAAATAATGTATGTTATAATTTAATGGACATACAAGTGTAAATTATTCTATTTGCAAAATTCATAATCCATTTTATACTATGACTATGAAAAGCGTAGAACGCCTTTTAAATAAAATGCATATAAATACACTGTTCATTTATACATAAATCAAAGAAATCAAGCGTATACAGATGGTGGCTTATATTTTTTGTAAGTCGAGATGAGTAATACATACTGTTTGTTAGGGCCCCACGCTTATAGTAGTCCTAAGAGGTAAACTATCGTGAAAAATCTGGTCAGTTTGACGAATATTCAAAAACTATTGTTTTATCGTCGAATGATAAGAATACTCTAGTCAGATAACAAGGGTAATTGAGATGTCTTTAAGGGAACTAACTCACAATGAAAACTCATTGTCCACACCAGAAAGAGGAAATCTACATTAATTGATCACGTCATGCGATAAAGAAAACAGGAGTACATCGTGAACACGGAAAGGTAGGAGAATATGAGAGACAGCGGGAACCTAGCAGGAAAACAATGTGCACAGAGACATCATGGCATGGAAGATCAGCTATGTCACATTTAACTGAAAGAGACGAGACAGAAGATTGTGGCCTAACGTGACTACCAACGCCGCAAGGCATGAACAGTAAAGATATATATGTATACACATAAAAAACACACACATATATACGTATATTTACTGTTCATTGCTCTCTTATGCAGTAGCTGCATCTTTTACTTATATGAACAGTAGGCCTGATATGAGTTATTCTATCATTCCTGGCTCTTCAGTTGCTATGTCTAAGATGATTTTGTTACAGGGTAAGGACTGGGTGGTTGTTTTTTTTAGATTTTGTAAAGGTTTTGATAGTCAGTAAGTACCAGACAACTATTTCTGATTGGTAGTAGAATATGCACACGTTATTTACTCTTCAGAATTTGTTTTAAAAAACTTTGTTAATTTAGTACTGTATTTTAGTTTGCACTTTTGCAAAGAGATTGGATTGATAATCAGTCCTAGTTTGTGAAAGTAGCAATATGAATCAGACGTTCTGGCTTCCCATTCTGGTCTGGTTTTAGTTAAGAGAAGACTGCAACTGCAACTGTATGGAAGGATATTCACATCCCTAAATGTCCGTCCATGCCAACCACGATAGAGGGCACACCAGATTTACGCAGGAGATAATAACATGTAACCATACTCAAAGTACTCAGAGCTGAAAATATACCTATGAGTTGTAAGGACAAGCGTGGGATACCTGTCTTTACATTAGAAAAGGTGGAGAAAGAAAAAACAACAAGGTTAAAAAAATACAATGATTGGCTTACAAAGATCAAGTGTTATGCACACATAAACACGTGCGTGCGCGCACTAAGGAAATAAGAAGCAACGTAACATATCAGGGTTGTCTCTTTTCCTAAAAAGAAAAAAAAAATCATAAATTATTATTCTTCATTTGTTTTATCTTAGAGTCAGCTGATTAGTCAAACTCTCGTTATCTGAAATGTGTTTCATGTGCCCCAGTAGAAGAGCTCTTTTGCTGGGCGTTTGCAACATCAACAACAACATGCCTTCCAGTCAACCGACAGAGACTAATGACTAAACCTTTCTCTCCTTGCTTATTGGCCACACATCCGATAAAAACCAACACAGTAAATAGTCCATAAGACAGGTCTGGTCCAGACAGAAAGTTAGGCTAGTCTCCCGCGACTACGGAGAATTCTACTCAGTATTCATCCTCTCTTTTGAAAGGAGTGAAGGTATGTCTTATAGCGTGTTGCTCATGTAGAGGAGTAAATGGTAGTACTCAAACATTTATAGCCGCTATAGCTGCTATTTATTTGCTGACCGTGGCTGCAACTTGGCAGAGTCCATGTAGAGAATGGTCAGGAATAGTTTTAATCTTCTCATCGCCCAGCTATTTGTCGAATAAAGTTGATTTTCGGCGATGTCGCCTAGTCTCACAGTGCGTTTGAGGAGACATGCACCTTATGGTGTGCCAGATCAAATCGTGTGCATTTTGCT